AGTTGTTTCCCAGTGTTTGTGTTTTTTGTTTTTTGTTTGTGTGTGTGTGTGTGTGTGTGTGTGTGTGTGTGTGTGTGTGTGTGTGTGTGTGGGGGGGGCAGCCGTGTGGGACATCCTCAAACAATCCCATTGAAGGACTAGTTGGTTGGTGAACTGGGAATTGGTTGGCTCATAGGCTCGCCAAGTGGCTTATCCGGGAGATTGGTTCGTTGATTGGCGGGTTGGTTGGTTGGTTGGTCGGCTGGTTATCCGATTGGCTGCTTTGCCAGGTTTTCGTTTGCCTTGGAATGGTTGGTCGATTGGTCGGGTTGTTGGCTCGCTAGATGCCAGGTCAAAGATTTTTACCACGAGCGGTCGGTTGGTTGCTCGGTTGGTTTGCGGGTTGGTTGGCTGGTTGGTTGGCTGGTTGGTTGGTTGGTTGGGTGGCTGGCTGGGTGGCCGGTTGCCCGCTTGCCCGGGTGGTTGGCATTCCCCTCATCCCCCTTCCTCCCTCCTCCTCACTCCTCTTCCTTCCCCCCCTCTTCTCTGTACTTTCCTCCCTTCTGCTCCCTCGCTGTCTTCCTCCTCCTCCTTCTCCTCCCCCTCGCCCGCAGTTTGGTGCAATGCGATTTATTGCAATTGCAATGCACATTCAACGCAGTGCAATGCAATGTATCGCAACATGATGTAACGCAATGCACATGCAGCGCAATGTAATGCAATGTATTCCAAGATAATGTGATACAATGCAATGCAATGCAGCGCAACACAATGCAATGCAACACAATGCAATGCAAAAACGATGGAACGGAACTCAATGCAATGCAATGCAATGCACTGCAATGCAATGCACTATTACGGAATGTGCTTCTGTCACGCGGCAGCGCCGCATGGCCGTAAGCACGATTTTCCACTCCACTCGGAACGTGGCAGCCCCTCGGCGGGCGATCACATGCCATTCCGCTTGCTCGTCACGTGGCAGCGCCGCGGCGGGGGCTGAGGATGACACTATTTCCAGTCCATTCGCTTACCACTCGTATTATGATGATGCTGATGATGATGATGATGATGATGAGGAGGAGGAGGAGGATGATGATGTTTGTTATTATTATTATTATTATTATTATTACTACTATTATTATTTTTATTGTTATTATTAGTATTCGTATTTTCTCCGGTTTTTACTATTGATAGCATTATCAGTATTGTCTTCGTTAATTCTTTTGAGCAGCGTGGCACCGCCTGGGGGGGCGGACGCACGTACTGTTCCACGACGTTGGTCGCGCGGCAGCGCCGCCGGGTGCCGAAGCACACACTCATCCCCTCCACCTGCCGCGCGGCAGCGCCTGGAGGCGCGAAGAGGCAGTGCTCCGTCTGCTCTGCTCGTCACGCGGCAGCGCCGCGGGGGGCCGAAGCACAGCTGCTCCGCTGGATTCTTCGCGCGGCAGCGCCGCGGGGGCTGAACACAATGCTATGCCGCTCCACTCGCCGCGTGGCAGCGCCTGTAGGCGCGAAGCAATCGTATTCCATTCGTGGTCGTCACGTGGCAGCGCCGCGGGGCCGAAGCAAACACAATGTCACGAGGACGTCGACGAGGACGACGCCGAGAACGACAACGACGACGATGACGAGGGCCATGGAGGCGAACAAACATTCTATCCTATCCTCCTCGTCCTTTTCCCTCCCCCTCTCCTCCTCCCTCCTACATCCTCCCTCCTTCCTCCCTCCCTTCCTCCTCCCCCTTCCCTCCTCCCCCCCTCCTCCCTCCTCCTTCTTCCCCTCCTCTCTACCTTCCTCCTTTCTCCTCCCTCGCTCGCAATTTAACGACTTCAGCGTACTGCAGATCCAATGCAAATGCAGCGCAGTGCAATGCAATGCAAGGCAACAGGATCGTTGGTTGGCAGGTTGGTTGGCTGCTGGCTGCTCGGGCGGCATGTTGGTTGGTTCGTTGGTTGGGTGGCCGCCGCGTGGTAACGCCTGGGCGGGCGACAACGTACTATTCCACTCTACTCGTCGCGTGGCAGCGCCACGGGGGCCGCAGAACAGACCATTCTACTCTTCTCGCTGTGTGGTCATGGCCTGGCGGGGACCGGAAAAGTATCGTTCCACTCTTGGGTCGCGTGGTAATGCCGCGGGGGCGCGTGGCAACGCCTGGGGGGGGGCCGACCAAAATACTAATCTTGTGGAGGGCGATCCGTGGAGAGGAAGCGTGTTGCCAAGTCATTTCCGGATGTCTGAAGCATGTGTTGATCATGTTTTAGTCTTTCGGAACATCACGTGTTCGAAACATGTTTAGAACTTTTTTCGACATCTTAAGCGCATGCCACAATTCAACGATGGGACTGTCAGGGTGTCCGCTGTCGTGGCACCCGCAATGCGATGCCACTGCTCGTCGCGCGGCAGCGCCCCGGGGGCCCCCAGCAATGCCGGGCCGCTTCGCGCGCAGCGCGGCGACGCCTGGGGGCGCGAAGAAGCAGTGCTCGTTGTCTGGGCCCATCGCCGCGCCCTCGCCGCGGGGGCGAGCGGCCTCCGACGCAGAGTTCGCGTTGATGGGTTCCTGGCTCTCGTGCGCGACCCCCTCTGGCCCCTGCTGGTCCTTCCCCGTCGAGGGCCGTCGGTTTCTCCTTCGGAGGTTTGCTCTTCAATCTGTCGACGTCGCTGGGGGCCGACAGCGATGCCGCGCCGTCAGACTGCTTGTCGGACGCCAAATTTGTTGGGATGCACGCGACGCGAAGAAGCGCTCGTGGCTGAAGGTCCGAGGCATGGATATCGACAACTGACGCGGCGAAATCTTGCCCGGATCGAGGCGATCCATGATCTTTGCCGGGGGCCCCCGACCCGCCGCAGCAGTGCGTTGTGAACTTGCCGATGCTATCAAAATCTATTTTGTGCGATGCTGAAAGGCGCCCGTCTGAAATCTTTGCGCAGCGCTGGCCCGCGCGCGGCCGCGCGCGCAACGCGTGTGAGACGGAGGTCGGGGATGAGAGATCATGGCGAACGGACAGGAAAAACGGGCAGGGGGGCGGAAGGGGCAGGACGAGAATGAGAAGGGGGGGGGTGGCGGGGGGGAGACGGTGCCATCTGTTTAGCGCTTTGCAGCCGCGCGCGCGTCAGCGCCGCGCCCATGGCGAGCGAATCCTTTCTGCGCCGCCTGCCTGTCGCGGTGGCTGGTTCATCTGCGCGGCCTCGATGCAGGCGCTGAGCGCTGAGTGACGAAGCCTCGGGCATGAGCTCTGCAATCCCTGCAGTGCTCGCGCGCGCCTCGAGCTCGGACATCAGACTCGCAGCGTTGCTGCTCGCACTCGGGGCGCGCCGGGCCAAGTCTGGGAGGCGCGGCCGCGCGGCCTCTGCCCGCCGCGGCGAGGTTATCCGCGTCCAACCCTCTGGGAGCTCGGCCAAAACGCGGGCCCTGCGACGGCTTCCCCCCGTTCATCTTGCCGCCCGTCGCTGGGTCGGCCAGGTGTCGGTTCGGGCGCGCTGCGCCCTGCCCGCGCGGCTTTGAAGGACGCAGAGTGGCGCGGCAGGCCCCGACCGAGCGGCGCCGCTCGCGGCCCGCCGGCGGAGCCAGCGGGCCTCTGCTGGCGGAGATCAACTCTTGATTGAGAGCGATCTGGGATGCCCTCGCCGGATCCATGGGCATGCGTTCGAAGGTCTCGATCGGGGGTGGACAGAACCCCCAACAGTGACACGTCGATTAGTGAATTGTCCGTTTTCGATTCTCGCGATGGCGCCCGCCATGGCCGTTATTTTCCAGGCTTGCGCCCGCCAGGTTTGGGCCTCAGGTCGTTTTCACTAAGGCACGCTTTGCTAAAGGGGGGTCTGTCCATCCCCGACTCGAGCTCTGCGGGGTCCGTGCCAAGCTGCCTCGGCGTCGCGCCTGCGCGGCGTGCGTTGGTAAGCGTCCTCGCGCCGAGGCCCGAGCGGCTCTGAGGGTGGATGTCAGGAGGGAAAGAAACACACAGACACAATGAATCGTCGATTCCCCAGAAAATATGGGATAATATGGGAAGTGTGGGGGAGACAGAAACCCAGAAAACAAAGAAAATATGGGGAATCTTTTTAGTGTGTATTTATTTGTGTGTCCCAGGGCCCCTTCAGGATGATGAGATCGCCCGCTTGGGCGGTTATCTTCTGGGCAACGTTGCCCTCCAAGAGCCGATCGGTGCAGTCTTTCCGCGCAGTGTTCGGTGCCAGCTTGCCATCGCGATGCGCGTCGATGCGCGCGTGGATAAAATCGCGCATCTCCTGCGGGTAGAAATTCTGCATTTGGTGTGCAGGCGTGCGGTGTCTGCAACAAAACAGAGGACAGCTCGAGGCCCAAACGCCTTCGCGCCGACGAAATCATTGCGCGCCATGGGATAGCAGTGGCCAGTTCCAAATTCATGTTTGTCATGCCTGCAATCCTTCTGCAGACGCTGCACGCTATGCAGATATTATTCGTTCCAACTATAGCATGCGTGTTCGTCAGTGTAGTTTCTGCGTGGATATACGATGGTCAATCTTACATGTTGCGCGCAATGCGTGATTTTTTTTGCCAACGCGGCACATCGATAACCGACGGAATGCCGTTCAATGCAACATGCTGCTGTAGAAAAAAACAACAAATGCCAAGGGCAACGCTCGAGCGCGGAACTCGCGGCTGCGATCTTTGCCCGCGTAAGAAATATGACATGCAAGCATCGAGCTTGAAATTGTTGGCGCTTCGCGAATCCCCGCAAGCCCATCCAGAAAAGATGCCCAGAGGAATTGCCTCGATCGGGGAAGTGGGCAGCACGCAGAGGAAGGGTCCCCCAGTGGAGGCCTCCTGGAGCGTCTTGGGGGCCTTTTGGCGGTCCTGGACGCCTTTTAGGGCGTCTTGGGTGCCTCGGAGAGCTTCTTGGGGCCTCTTGGGGGTTTCTTGGGGGCCTCTAGGAGGCCTCTTGGGCGCTTGTTGGGGCCTCCTGGGGCTCTCTTGAAGCGCTGTTGGGAGCTTTGGGGGCGCTCTCGGAGCCCTCTTAGGCCATCTTGGAGCCATCCTGAAG